ATGCTAAGGGCCTAAGGCTGGAGGAAATAGTATCAGTCCAAGGGACTAGAAAAAGCTGTATGTCAATGGGTGATCTTATGTAGCCCTGCAAAACAACAGTGTATAAAAGATGCTACTGAAACAGGCCACAGAAGAAAAAAATGCTATTTCATTCCAACAACGAAGCATTAGATGCTTTTAAATGCTACGCAAGATTAGTCTTTGAGCACCCTATTCACACTTCCATAGGAGAATGTGCACTCTGATGAAGATATCATGGTTTACTTCAAATTTTGGAATTTAGGTCTCAGCTGAAGGAGTTACCAGGAAATCAGACCTGCGCTGGTCTTGCTGTCCTCACCACAGCATGCTCTGTGATCTCAGGTTCAGCCTATAGACTTCAAATGCTACTCTGCAGAAGGCTCAAATTATGTGAACAGTAAAGTCCAGTGGATTGGATGCAAGTATTCTAAAAGGATCAAACTAAACTAAGTAACTGTCATTTTTCAGGACTTCAATTCCTTAGAAATAATTTTTTTTCTATTTGTTATTTTTAAATTTCAATTCCTCAACTCTAAGCAACTAAATGCTAATTTTAAATTTTCACTGGCAGAGCTGCATTGGACAAGAGATATCTGTTGTACTGAAAACCGTGGTGTCCATTATCCACTAAGACAGGACACCCCCAAACCAGTCCCAATTCTCTTGCTCACAGAAGGTAGGTCAGGACCACATGGAGAAGACCAAGCCCAGTGAGCACTTAAATTCTTTAAATAATGCTATCTAGAGAGAAGCTTCAGCCCTGTACCCTCGGCTATTATGGCACAGCCATTGCAACAGACGCTAAATTATCTGTCCACACCCCTTCGCCTGCAGATGGCTTCTGTTCACCCAGTTCCACATGACAGCTCCATGACTCCCTCACCCTAGGTGATTCAGAATTTAAGAATTAAGGCTATGGTGTCTAGCCTTCTCATCCTTTTGACTGAATATCTCAGGAGCTGTTAACATTCTTCATTTTGTTACATGAAGTAGAAAAAAAGCGGGGCTGGGGAAGATGGCTCAGTAGAGTAAGTGCTTCCCTGGCAAGTGCAAGGGCCTGAGTTCAATCCCTGGTTCTGCCAAAAAAACAGAAAAAGAAAAAAAAAAAAAAAGCAAGTATATTGAATGAATGCAACAGAAGAAAGTAAAGCAAGGAAAAAAAGTGTGAGACTTCCAAGGTTCTCAAAAGCAATGCAGGCTCAGAGGCCCAGTCTGTCCCTGAAACTGAATTGCTTTCCAGCCCTGGAGGAAGCCAAAGCTCTTACCACACATCCTGCTGAAGCTATTCTCCCAGGGTTTCTATTAAGCACAACTAAGGAATCAATCATATGATCACAACAGCCTTACTTAAATGTCCCTATTCCTTTTCCTCATGATTTTTCATTATCCACCTTTACTGATTAGCTTCCCTGTCACTGACAAAACACCACACCTGCAATTTGCGGAAGAAGAAACTTATTCTCATGGTTTTCTACACAGCAAAAATGAGCTGTGGGTGAGTGAACATCTCAGAAAGTAAAAGCATTCTTCAAACAAATAAGGGAATAAGTGTCTACATTCTTCAGTAAAAAAACTGCCCTAAAAACAACTAAATCATACAGTCGCAAAACGATTGCAGAAAATAAGAGTTTAAAAAGTCTTGTCAGCTACTTCTTAGCATGCTACTCCCACTCTCCAGAGACTGCGTTACATGTATGAATATAACAAAATGATACATTCATTTTGTCTGTACAATATGCACTCATTAAAAAAAAAAAAAAATCCCGCAAGATGAAGGTGAATGAAGCACGCAATGTGTAGGCGGCCAAGAGCTGTTGCTCCGTTGTTGGGGTGGGAGAGGGTAAACTTTGCAAGCCTCTGCTGGACGATTCAAAAAACCTGGGGATTTCACAGTCACTTTAAAACGTGAGCGGGCGGTGGCCGGCTGGGGGGAGGCGTGTGACCGGGCCGGGAACGACTCGCAACGGTACTGCGCCCGAGGTATGAATAAGGTTCATGTGGAGCTTTAAGAATTTATTACCTCCCGTCTCCGCTTACGCAACAAAGGCGACAGCCCCCTGTGCGGCTCCCAGGGTCGTCATGACGCTTTTACCACTAGAAAGCGTTTCCTCCGGTATCAAACCGGTGGACCAAGTGTTCTCACCTCGTCAACGATTTCGTCATCTCCGTCCTCTTCTTCGTCACTGTCTTCACTGTCTTCGTCCTCCTCCTCCATTTCACCTTCCTCTTCCTCCTCGTCACAGCGGACGTGGGCGCCCTGCGGCTGCGGGACCCCGGGCCCCACCGCTCTCCTCTTGGCCCTGGAGGCCATGTTGCCGTTCACACTGCGCCTGCGCGAGCTTCACCCGCTACCCTTTCGGACCAATTATCTTTTACTAGTTGAAGGGGTGGGAGACCACTAAAGTTCTCAGCTCTGAGTGTGTATCAACGCAGTGACCCCTCTGTATTACATAACTGATGTTGAGAAGTGCCGTACAGCTTAAAAGCTCTATCCAAGCCTTTTCTTTGCTCTCCATCTCCACTCACTTCTCACTCCCTCCATGTCTCCCCCCCACACAGTGGTTCGCCCCACCCGCCGGGGCTCCTTCCGGCTCGCGGATGTCAGTGCGCAAGCGCGATTGCCCACCAATGCGCGCTGCGGGAACTGGGAAGCTGGCTGAGGTGCTGAGCTTTCGGGGGCGGGGCGTTGTGTGCCGTCTGGCTGTTCGGCCGAGTGGCGGTGGGTTGCGATTCTGTTGTCATTCCCCCTGCAGCCTTCGGCGGGGACTGCGAGATCCCGCCCCTCGACGTGGCAGAGCGTCGTGCAGGGCAAGGTCCCGCCTCCTGGCCCTTTGGGCCTCGTCAGTCCCGCGAGGTAGGTGTCACCGCCTACGTCCCGCACGCAGCGCCTGCTCGGCCGGGCCCCTGCGACAAGTGACAGCCTGAGGCCGGGGCCCCGGAGCCACCGCCGTCTGCAACGGGCCGTCGCTCTGGTCTGGCCCCGGTGCGAAGGTCTGCTAGCCCTGTTAGATCCCGCGCAGATCAGCCTTGCGAGCCTGAGTTCTTCTGTAGAAGGCGCAGAGATTTTTCATGCTTTAGAGTTGAAGAGTACAGTGGTCCACAGTAGTCCCGAGCCTGTTTTGAGCGAGTAATTGAAGGGAGGCTGTGTACTCCTCAGCTGCCCTTCGCTGTGGTTTAGTGAAAGTACTGCGCCAGTGTTGCCAGAGTTATCTTAAGAGAAGCTCAAGTTCTGCATTTTAACAAGAAATATTTTAATTGATAAAGCCTGTACCGTGTAAGTAGGATCTACCAGTTAGGTTATCCCACAGAGGGTCAATTGAGCTTTTGTAAATGCCATTATGTAGAAAGAAGATCATTAATTAAGAAAAACATCAGAGGCTGGTGAGATGGCTCAGTGGTCTAGAGCACCTACTTCAGAACAAGCTTAGCAGAGCTCGGTGATCCGTGATCGCGGTTCAATCCCCCAGCACCACATGCCAGCCAGCCCCGCCCCCTGGTGGGCTGAGCTGGCCACACACAGAAATAAATAAATTAATTTAAAAAAAAAAAGAAAAAAGAAAAACATCAGCTTTCTGAGAATGAGAGCTCTGGTTTCCCATCACTTTCTGTGTAAAAGTAATGGGTCGGATGTTTGATTTTTAAAACCACAATAAGCTGTCCGTAGTGGTCAGGTGGCTACTGCTGAAGAGGTTTAAGCAGAGTAAGTGATCCTTCCTCAGGAGGATAGTTAGGAGATCCTAACTATGTGCCCACATGACAGAATCTGTGAGGTTCACATCAAGGCTCTACAGCCGGGGTGGCTTAAGATAGCAATACCAAGTCCCACAGCTGCACAATGTGTTCTAGTAATATATACCCATCAAAAGGCAAACGTTGCCGGTTGCGGCGGTGCACGCCTGTAATCCCAGCACTCAGGAGGCTGAGGCAGGGGCTCCCTCCAAAAGGGGGTCAAAGGCAGCCCGGACTTCAAATCGGGGGCCCGTCTCTTTAAAAAAAAAAAAGGTATGATTAGGAAGGGAGAAAAGACTCAGAGCAACTTATCCACGTGTCACTGAGACATCATGGATCATTTCTTCCCTATTTCTTTATACCTTTTTTGATTAAAAATAATAATCATAAAATATATATAGCACAAATTTTAACATTTTGCTCAAACTTGTGACTAGCTCAGTAACATAAGTACATTCATATTGTAGTACATTCCATCTCTAGCACTTTTTGTCTTGCAAAAAAGCTACTCAGTATAACTCCCCTGCCCTCCTCCTCTTTCAGCCTAGAAACCACATTTCTACTTTCCATTTCTATGAATTGACTATTCCATAAGTTACATATAGGTGGAATCTTAGAGGAAACTTTGTGCATAAGGATTTCATTCCTTGCTGAATGATACCGATGAGTTATTTGTTGATGAATATTTAGTTTTCTTACACATTTTAGCTATTATAATACTGGTACAGACCAAAGTGTATAAATATCTCTTCAAGTCCCTGCTTTCAGTTATTAGGGATATATATCCAGACGTGGAATAACTGGATCATATGGTTAATTCTATTTTTAATTTTTTGAAGCACTGAGCTTTTTTTAGTTTGTCAGTCTTAGAATGAATACATACTGCTTTGATTTGTAAGAATGATCATATCTATCTTTTAGGCTTCAGTGAGGTTTGCAATCTTATGCATAAAGGCTTAACCTAGGGCATAGTTGATGTTTTTATGTCAGTTTCATTGGCTGCCCAGATACATGGTTAAATGTTTCAGACTGTGTCTGAGAATGTTCTAGGAAAAGGATAGCATTTGAATCCATATCCAGTAAAGTTCATTGCCCACCCTAAAGCAGTGGGCCTGAGTGGAACAGAAAGATGGAAAAGGAGGAGAAGATTCACACTCT